CAAGTGTGTTACGGGAGTAGGAGTGAGTACCTTCTCTTTCTTCATTTTCTGGAGATCAGCTTTGTAGTTTCGTAAACTCTCAGCACGTGCACGTGCTTCTTCCAAAGGACTAAGTTTAGAAGGCTTCCCTCTCCTTATTGGTCCGACGCTCTTTCTTTTATCAGAACTATTTGGAGTAGTTTTTGATTTTGGCTCCTTATCCGACCTCTTTGATCCTGGTTTCGCATCAGCTAATACCTCTTTGTTTTTATTTTGTAGAGCACCACCAGCTTGGGCCTGCATTTCATAGTCTAAAGCAAGGTCGTAACTCTTTGACCCCCCTTCAGCTCCTCGTTCAGGCATCATGCTTAATACATCTAGTTGATAATTCAAATGGTCGATCCCATTTAACGGTTTTTCTTTCTTTTGACTAACTATCGGGAACTCAGAATCTATATCAATCATGTTTCTTTTAACATTTCCTGCATCATTGACTTGGATTGATCTATGCTCCAACATGTAGGAATCATCATTCATATCGTGAAACAACTTCCTTTGCAAATTATCATTTGAATAACCAAGTCCACTGCTGGTAATTTCCAGACCTGAGGAAGGATATGAATTACCGGATTGACTTCCTTGTTTGGAAACGATGAAATCATCACTAGCAGCTCTCCTGTAACCACCGCTTCTTCCATTTGCTTCCAAAGATTGTGCGTCATCTATTGAACGACTGCCTTGAACTTCATGCATATCCCGCCCATTCAAAACTAAAGGATCATTGACTGAAACATGATTTTTTCTTCTCCTCTCATCCACTTTTTCCATACCAAATTGGTCATGGTCAATGGTATGTCTATCTTCATCAACATCTCTGAGTAAACAATTTTGGAAAGCTTGCCAGTGTCCTCCATCTGCATCCTTTATATGGTCGGTTTCTTCCTTATCAGACGAATTCAACTTCTTCAAAGATTCTTTTCTAGATCCCCTTCTTTTTGAAGTCTTCACATGCTCCTGATTGTCAATATCTTCATCAGTTTCAGAGGCAGAATCTGAATACGATCCACTGCCAGAAGAGTTTTCTGTCTTTGTTATATAATTGATATTTCTAATAACCACCATGCCAGATTTCTGTCTACCTGATCGGCTAGCCTTCTTCCGTCGATCTCCTGTCTGTGAACCCTCCCTCTCCACATCCACTTCATCCTGCAACCTTGATTTTGAAGCTTCTGAATCAGTATTGCTTTGTCTACTATCCATGGAATGCCTTCTAAAATTCATATTTTGAGCGGCGGTTAGTCTAGGATCCTCTATAGGTGAATAATTTTGCTGCATGTATGGACTGTTTCCATGATATGGCTGATAGTAGGGTATTCCTTGCACTGGATATGGCTGATAGACTGGTAGAGCACCTGGTGGAGAATGAATAGGCCAAGGAGGGTACATGTGATGCGGAAATTGACCATGCATATTATCTTGGTGGCCTTGACTGTCCATTGGAGGCACATCTGGAAAAGTGAAAAGTAAATTGTGAAACGAGAGTTTTGTCCATATAAGTCCATTTGTGTATGTGCATATAAAAAAACAGTACAAGCTATTATTGTAATTCTGTACATTAACTTCTGAAGAAACAATAAATTCATAAGTTCACAATGCTCTGGAAATTGTAAGGTGTACCTGAACTTGATTTCCCATTGTTCTCTGAGTCCAATTCAGCATGGGATACAAAGGGCATATTAGGAAGTATAATGCCAGGACCATTTAATGCAGCGAAGTCAGAGCGGTTGGACATCATTTCAGCAGCTTCAATTTCAAGCCATTGTCCATTTTCATGTTTTCTTTTCCAAAGATCTCTAAATTTTGCAGATGCATCCCTGATATGTGACAAAAATTAGCATCAACATGATTGGCCAAATGTCACATGTTACATGTCAATGGAAGAAAGAACACAACATTTGACCAACAAATATTTGCGGTTAAAGGGGTGTATGAAAAAACAGTTATCTTACATCAATCGAGATGCTCCAAAGCATTCAGCAAATGACATCAAAGCAGGTATATAGTCAATCTCAAAACCAGCGGCAACAGCACGTGCAAACGCCATGCCTTGCTCTTTCTGCAGCACTGATTTGCGCGTCTCTAGGACTTTCAAAAGCTGAACTCTGAGAAAATGTGATTGTATTGAATAAAGCACATGTTAACAATCTGCTTCTTATAAAAGAAGCTTCATAGATAGCGAACAAATTAAGAAAATAACAGCACATTTTATCATATCATAGTTGCATGCAATGCTGAGAAACAAGAAACTAAGTCCAACTGAGCTTTACTTTAAAATTTACAACAGTATAGAAAAACTAGTCCCAATAGTTTAAGCTATGATGGATGAATTACAAAATAATCTCTAGCATTGGAAAATGGAATTTACTTTGAGTTCCCTTCTGATGTGGCATTTCCATTTACTTCAGGTAGATGTGCATCAGGCTGAAACATAACCATACAATTAGATAAATAAGTTAAGCCAATAAATGAGTACGGTATTTATCATTGAAGACCTATTAACCTTGTAAAGAACAATCGCTTTCTCCTCGTTCGTATCATGTTGAGTCTTCCTGCCTGTGTACAGTACAAGTTTAGTTGTAAATTCAAATCTTGAAAATCTTAGCCGAGCATTAAATACACCTAGATTTGTTGAACACGAGTTGGTGGTTCTCAATGATAATTTGAAATAAACTCGTTCTTTCAAAAGTACCTTCTGTGTTTTCTGCATGTTTTACTTGATTTTCTTCCACCTGTAAGAAATATTGTTAGAACAAAGTTTGGTTCTAATCATATCTTAAAGTTTTGATGATAAGAATGAAATAAATTTTGTATAATATATTTTATACTCTGATGTCCATGTTTTCTAATTCAAATGATGTTCTGAGTCAAGCATTCTCAAAAGTGAAACATCATTCTACGCTGAGCAGAAAAAGAATAAAGAAGTTCCTAAGAAATTTTATGTAAACGCAAGTCTGAAGCAAACTCTGAAAGAAGCACTCTAAGGCAAACTCTGATAAAAAGTAATCTTAAGCAACCTCTGATAAAGCTAGCTGAAGCAAAGATTTGAAAGAAGCACGCTGAAAGCAATATCTGATAATGCAAGCTGAAGCAAACTCTGATGAACATAAAATGAAGAAAACTCTGACAGAAGGAGTGATATAACAAACTCAGATAGAAGAAAAGTTAAAACAAACTTTGATGTTGCAACGCTGCAAGCAAACTCTTAAACTTCCAGAGACAAGCTCTGACAATACCGTTGATCATTTAATGCTAAGACGCCTAACGCACTCAAGTGGTACTACGCACGAGAGCATTGGAAACATAAAGGTCAAGCTAACACGCATCATTAATGCATACTCTCTCAAGGCAGTAACGGTCAAAATTTGAAGTTATATATAAAAGACCATTTGTTTCAAAGCAATGTTATTGATCCATGCAAAATATACTGAAGCTCATTATTTTCATTCTTGTAAACTCTTTGTATATAGTGGATAATTCTTAAGTGTTGGGCTAAAATCTCAGTGATAAATCACAGTTTGCGATATAGCTTATTAGAAGCATTCTGATTCACTACTGTTAAGAGATAATCTTTGTAATTGTTCCTTGAGAGACCAGTTGGGTCAGATTTCTCAAGAGGGCTAGGACTAGTTGAGTCTTAGAGGTGTTAGTCACTTGCAGTTGGCTTGTGCATTGTATTGTTAGTCACAACAATTTGGTTGTGTATTTGTAATCAGTTTTGATTACAGTGGATTAAGTCCTCGTTGAGAGAGGCGAAATCACCTTGGCGGGTGGACTGGAGTAGTTTGAGTTTCAAACGAACCAGGATAAAATTACCGGGTCCTTCCATTATTATTGCGCGAGAAAAAGGAAAAACTTATTCAACCCCCTCTTCTAAGTGTTTTCTCACCCTTCAAATACATGATTACCGAAATAGTCTTTCAAGTGAAGACAATCAATCATACAATAATGCTTGATATTTTACTTACAGTGCTAATCCCAATCGAGTTATTTCCTTGAATTGCAATTGCCTCTTCGATTTGTAATATTTCAGCTTCTGTAGTATACACACGTTCCAATATCTCAGGAGTGTTTACAAAACGAACAAACCTATAAAACCATACACGATTAGTCTGCCAGGCTCTTCAAAAATATCATTCTAGATCATCTATACCGAAACATTAAAAGTCAAACCTTTCAAGAGTTCCTTTGGTAAACCACGTGGAATCACTGCCATCCTCAGGCTCAAGAACAATTGAATAACCACCCTTGTCCATCTGATCTTGAGCGGCCCTCAAATGAGAAAGAAATGGATTGAGCAAACCAGAGGCAATTTTCTCCTTCTTTCCATTCACAGTTATAACCAAGTCAAACCTGATTTATACAGAAGCAGAAACATAAAAAAATCAAACACATAAATCAGTTTTTACAAACAATGTGCAATTTTTATCATCAAGCGTTCGCATAAATCAATACAAGGGTTTCTCAACTCTCCTAGTTAGTACACCTATCTAAATTTGTATTCTAGTACTTAATCACAAAAACAACAACACTGTAAAATCCACAAAACTTGAAACTTTATCACATAAAAATACCCTAACCGAATACAACCATAATTATTTTGCATAAAATCTACGACTAAACTTGCTTATAACACCCAAGTTGCAAAAACCATATCATGTTACTAGATTCCAATAACTATATCAACAAACTTGAAAATTATAACTTATACAAACAACTTATTTCCAATTAACATCCTTAAACAAACCCATGTACACCAAAACCATCATAAGTACTATTAACTAAGCCAAAAAAAGAAAACTGAGGCAAACCTATTAATTCAACAAAACATTGAATTAAACCCATTGACGAATGAAGTATTACCTTGTTCTAGTAGGTGTGAGTTGAAAAACAGCCGAATCCAACCTCATTGAAGAGTTCATTTTCAGTCACAAAAAAGAATAATCCACCAACAGGGTTCAGAATCAGATTATCAAAAGCAAAGACCGAAACAGTTTCAGTGAAAAAAAAAGTATTTTTATATATAAAGAAGAAAAGTAAAAAAGGGTTAGAAGGTTAAAGTTGAAATTGAGAAAGAGAGAGAGTCCAAAAATTGTTCTCTTTGGATACCAACTCCAACGAATACCTGTGAGAATGTGACAAATAATATTATCATGAACTTAAAGAGAATAAGGGTAAAAATGGAAATACATTAAAATTGACACTAACAATTGGAAGCGCCGAGGTTTGACAGTGACACGGTCAGAGAGACAGATCTGTGTTTTCTACCTCCAACCTTGTCTTGGAAAATTACTATTTTACCCTCTGCTTCCATTCTTTACTCCCTTTATTCTCTTCAACCTTTGCGTTTCATTATTAAAGATTAATTAATCACTTTCTACTCACTCTTGACTCATTTCAATTTTTCTTCCAAATAATTAAATGCTGTTAAATGATGTAGTTGAATAATTTTTTTTGACATTAAAGTTTAATAAAATAGTATAATTTTTTTAATTTATAGATGATATTATAACTGTAAATACAATATTTACGTTCGATTTAACACTATCGACTCTGACAAATTGAAGTGAGACTTTCAAACAAGTTTAATAATATTTTGATTGGAGGTAGTGAAGAGGATGAGAAGGAATCTATATCTTTGAGTTATGATGAAGAAATGGACCTTCATTCATCACTACTAAGCCACTAAAAGTCAATAATTGAAAATGAAGAGCTATATATATATAGTATTCTTGTTATGCTTTTTCCTTGTTGCTTCCATTTTTTTATTGGTTTCTTATTATAGGAATATTTAATTTTTTTATAATAATGTGTGTTTTATGCATGAAAAAAGGGACAGAATGTTAAGATAATTAATTAGTAGGAGTTAGAGAGATATGCACGGGTAGCCCTACCTTGCATGTCATAGGGAACAATTGATAATTACTAATTAGTCCTCAAATCCGACAAAATTATGCAAGCCCATAGAAAATGGTAAGTTAAATAAATGGTTTGAATTAAAGGTGTACATTATTGTAGTATAACATATTGAATTATTATAAATAATTTTGTTTAAATTTTCATTTTCAATCCATATAAAAAAAGTCTTTTAATTTAAAATTAGGTTGAATATATTTTTGATCGTTTTAGATATCTCAAATTTTATTTTTAATTTTTTTTAAAAAATTTAAAAAAAAATTCTTTTAAAAATTTAAAATTTAATTTTTAATCTCTTATGATAAAACCGTAAGTAAAATAGTCTTTAATTTCGTCGTTAAATAAAAAACTATCGTTAAAATCAATATTAAATTAAAAATCGTCATTAAATTACAGGAGAAAATCAAAAGTTAAATTTTAAATTTTTAAAAGAATTATTTTTTTAAAAAAATTTATAGAGACTAAAAATAAAATTCAAAATATTTAAAAGAACCAAAATATATTTAACTCTTTAAAATTCACTCTAGACATTATTGGAATATTCCATAAAATTAAAAAGGATATTTATATATATTATTTTATAGTTTTTTCTACTTTTTTTTTTTTTAACAATTGGAGCAGCTTTGCAAAATTGCAGGGCCCCTTTATTTCTCAAATCAAAGTCGTTTTTCATTGGCATGTTCCTTTCCTTTTATTTCAAAAAAGTATTTTGTTCTGACCAATTTAATTGTAAAACAAAAAGGTTTAGCTAAAGAGCTTGGAGTGAAAAGTTACAGCACGCACTTTACACATGTTAGCTACTACTTACTAGTAGTATACTAAGTGAAATTATTTTCTGTCATATTAAGTATTGGGATCCTAGAATTCAAATTGGAATTAGAAATAAAAATAAATTGCAAGTATAATTTATCTCTTGTAGTGTAAGGTTGTCAAGGTTTTTATGGTTGTTATAGTGTTAAAGCAAGTTTATGTAAATATAGTGAAAAATTACGTGTATATGGTGTTTTCGTAATGAATTGAATCTCAATTCTTGTTTGAAATAATTTATATTTAAAAGTTGTTGTTTTTGGAAGTTGTGTTATTTAGAAGTTAAATGTTTTAGAATCTTTCTTAATCTAGCTGAGAAGTTGCATGTTCAGAACCTTAACTCAACTTCTGAGTTTTATTAAGATAGTTAGTTTTGTTTACGTGGCATTTGAAATTTATGCATTTAAACAACTTTGTAATTAGTTTTTCACTAATGCACCAATTGAGTTTTTTTACTCAAATTTTGTTATAATCGTATTCTCTATCTTCTTCCATCTTCAACCTTGTGCTCCAACAATTGATATTTAGAGCTCTAATTCGATTCAAGGCAACACGAGTGTACGAAGGCGTGAGTCATTGATTTCGTTTCTTGAATTCGCGTTGAATTCACTATCAGAATCGTAACAAAATTGCATTTCTTGATTTTTGAGAGATCGGGAAACACAAGTATTTGGTGAGATCTGAGTGGGGTTCAATGCAAAAGAACAAAGATGAACGGCGAAAATAGAGTGAATACAAGCTTCCAGTATTTGATGGAAAGAATTGGAATCGATGGATGACTCAGATACATGTGTTGTTTGGTGCTCTAGATGTTCTTGATCTCATCACCGATGCTTACATTCTGGTTGCAGCAGATGCAAAAGAGGAACAGAGAAACGCACAAAGAGATACGAGGAAGAAATATCAGAAGGCGTTATTCTACATCCATCAGTGTGTGGATGCGAATGAGTTTGATAAAATCGCTTATTCAAAGACGACGAAGGTTGTGTGGGACATATTGGCATGGTGCTACGACGGTGATGCATTAGGGAAGATTGTGAAAATTCAGTCTCTATGTAAGTAGTATGAGAATCTCAACATGAAGGACAATGAAAAGGTACCATATTACATCTCCATAGTGATTCTAATTACAAATGAGATGAAATCTTGTGGAGAAACTCTTTCTGAACAAGTAATCATTGAGAAGATATTGAGATATCTTACTCCTCAGTTTGATTACACTATTGTAGCAATTAAACATTCTAAAGATCTCAGCGCCATGAGACTTGAAGAGTTGTAGAGTATTCTAGATGCACGAGAGTTACGTCTGATTGAGAGAATCTTTGAAAGAGAGGTAAAGTAGGCTCTAAAAGCGTCTTCTGGTAAGAATAGTCAGAACCAGTCCTGGTCAGAGGCCAAGAAGAGACGCGGTGGTTCTCAGAAGTCAGAAGCCTCTAACTCTGATGAAAAGAAACATCATAAGGGAAATGAGAAGCTTGGCAAGAGAAAGTTTTAGTGTTACAATTGTAATAGGTTTTATCATTTTGTTAAGGATTATTGGTCAATCGAGGAAAAGAAGTCAGAAGAAGCGAACATAGCCAGATGAGATTATGATGATGAACTTGTGCTATGGACGGCTTCTGAATCTGATGGTGGATATTTAATAGACTGGTGGTATATGGACACTGGTTACTCAAATCACAAACTGGAAATAAACAATGGTTGATTGAGTTTGACTTTAGAAAGAGGACAAATATCAGATGTGTTGATGATAAATACCTTAATATTGAAGGTATAGGAAATGCAAATTCAAAGTGAAGAATGGTACAATTATTCTGATCATGGATGTTTGGTATGTTCCTGGCATGAATAACAATTTGATGAGTGTAGGTCAACTCATTGAGAAAGGTTTCTCAGTAACTATGAAGAAGAATATCTTGAAGTTGTATGATTCTGATCAGAAGATAATTATGCAATCTAAATAGGGAAGCAACATAATATTCAAGGTGAAGATGGAGACTACTGAAACTAAATTCCTTAGTGCAGAAGGTGCTAAATATGACAGTGAGTTGTAGCATAAGAGATTGGGGCATCTGAACTTCAAAGCTTAGGGCACTTGAGTTTTAAGAAGCTGGTATATGGCATTCCTAAGATTGTGAAGCTTGAGAAGTTATTTAAGATATGCATGAAAGACAAGCAACCTAGATTTCTGTTTGCATCAGAAGTGACTCCAAGAGCAAAGCTTGCTTTAAGAGTTGTGCATTCTGATGTATGTGAGCCATTTGAAGTAACTTCACTTGGAGAAAACAAGCATTTTGTGTCATTTGTGGATGACTTCACAAGAATGATATTGGTAGCACTCATCAAGTTTAAGTATGAAGTGTTTACTAAGTTTCATAAGTTTATGGTGAAGGCTAAAAAACATAGTGGTCAGAAGCTAAAAATTCTCAGAATTGATAGTGGGGGTGAGTACAACTCTATAGAGTTCAAGAAGTTCTGTGAGGAGAATGAAATTGAGCATGAGATTACTATTCCATACACTCCTCAGCACAATGGTCTTGTTGAAAGAAGAAATATAACTTTTCTTGATATGACAAGGAGCATGTTGAAATAGAAGAATCTCTTTCACATCTTGTGGAGTGAAGTTGTTGCCACTGTATCATATATGCTCAGCAGGTGTCCAACAAAGAAGCTGAAGGAAATTGTTCCTTTTGAGAAGTGGACTGGAGATAAGAAAAGTGTGAGTCATTTCAGAGTATTTGGTTATCTTTGTTACAAACATATTTCTAGTGCTACTAGAAAGAAGTTGGATGATAGAATAAAAGTAACGTTGTTGATTGGGTACCATAGTACAACTGCTTATAAGCTTTATTGTCCAGTTACTAATAAAGTTGAAATCAACAGAGATGTCATTGTGAAAGAATCAGAAGTGTGGTATTGGAGAAAGTATCAATCTAACTCTGGTGTAGTGTTAACATACGAGGTAACTTCTGAAGGTATTTCTAACTCTAAAAGAGAATCTGCCTCTGAAGGGGATTCTGCCTCTGAATATTAGTCAGAGTCAGAAGGTGACTCTGAAGCTGAAGGAGAATCTGAAGGCGAGTCTGACTGTGAAGGTGAATCTGATTCTGATCCAAATTCTAATGATGATCCAGACTTTGGTGGTAATCCAACTTCTGAAGGTCATCCATCATCTGATATTGTTCCAACATCTGAAGAAGATTCCGAACAAGTTTAGAGGCTACAAAGAATCAGAAAAATACCAAGAAGATTCGGAGTTTGACATGTTGCAAGATACTAAGATAAACTCTTAAAGGAGAAGTCATTAAGTGTGCCATGTTAGTAGAATCTGAACCATAATGAGAGTCTTCATAACCTTGTCTTCAGAGTCTTCAAAACTTGTTCAGCAGAACCTTGTCTTCACAATCCTCATAACTTGGTCTTCAGAACCTCAAAACTTGAAAGCGCAAAATCTTTAGAGCTTGAGAAGCCTTCATAAGCTCTTTTATCAGAGTCACAGTCAGAAGCTTTAGACTAACGTTCTTCAGAAGCATTGTTTAGAAGCATTCTAGAACTTAACAGTATCTTTGTAATGCGTACTTTGTATCTCTC